ACACATACCACCTCTCCACAAGGAATGCAGTTATTATGTAATGAAAACATGAATGAGATGAAAAACCTTAAAACAGTGTAACTGCCGTGAGCTTTTCAACTTTGGAGAAAGAGCAAGAGGGAAGAAAGTCTGGTGTTTGAGGTAAGAACAAAGAGATTTAACAGAGTTCCTCGTGATTTAACCTCAAGCACAAAATACCAAATTAAGAGATGTTTTGTATGTTACTTAGATGACAGATAAAGGCTAAACTTGATTGTCTTTGCAATCTTCCAGGCTGAACATGTGGGCAGATGTTGAGAATCTAGAGGTGGAAGAGTACTGAGTTGAGTAGGGGGAGTGGATGGCTGAATACTCCGAAAGCTGTGATACTGGGATTCAGTCACAAGGATAAGTTACTTTGACTGACAAAAGGAAGGGAAAGAAATCTCAAAGTTGCCATTTGTAATAGAGTTCCATTTCCAGTAAGTTAGTCAAGAACTGTACTTACCAGTTGAAGGTTGTTAAGACTGTTTCCCAGTATTTGTGAAAACGGTTTTTGAAAATAATTATCTCTGCAAAGAAAATATTTTCCTAAGACTTGAAGCTTGCTTACACAGTTACTGCAGTTTTATCTGAAGGTTATACTGAAAAATTAGTTAAAGCCTAAGGACATATCTAGGGGCAGAGTTTTTTTTTTTTTAAAAAGAAAAAAAAAGAGAATTTCAAAAACAATAGGAAATTGACAATGGTGAATATGTTATATATTATCTTTAGAGTAGTTGATTAGATTATAAGATGCAGGCTTGCAAAATTGATCAAACAATATAAGCACAGTTGTTTCTCAGTGAACTAAGGAATCAGTATAATCAGCTACATTTTGTATATATATATTGTTTTCCATTTCCTTCTTTTATCCTTTCACTCATTCCAGTTCTTTACTTTTGAGCTGTTTCTTTCCCTTCACAATATCTGTGGTAGATTTTGGGTCTTAGTTTCTTTTTTTTTGTCTTTTTTCTTTTTATCAGTACTGGGGATCAAACCCACGACTGCCTGCTTGCAAGGCAGGCACTTATGCCGCTGAACTAAATCCCCAGCCCCTTGGTCTTACTTAGTTTCTTACACTAAGGAGACAATACAGTGTTTATGATTATGGGTCTGCTTTATTTCACTTAAGGATATGGACTCTAGTTGCATCCATTTACCTATAAAAGCGTTGAGTTTACCCTTTATAGCTGAGTAGCATTTCATTATGTAAGAATACCATCTTTTAAATCCATTCCTTGGTTGATGGGCATTTGATTTGGTTCCAAGATTTAGCTAACACAAACTGTGCTGCTATAAACATGGATATGTATATCAATGTGATGTGATGTTTTTTATCCATTTGGGAAAATACCCAGAAGGGGAATAGCTGGCTTGAATGGGACTTGAATGGGAACTTTAATCCTAGCTTTTTGAGGAATCTCCACACTGATTTTTGATTTCTTGATGATAGCCATTCTTTCTGGGGTGAGATGGAATCTCAGTGTTATTTTAATTTGCATTTCTAGAAGCACCAATGATGTTAAACTTTTTTTCATGTATTTATTTGCTATTTGTATTTCTCCTTAAAATGTGTGTTTATCTCAGATTTCCTGTTTTTGGATTGGGTCTTTGAATTTGGGAGGTCTGAGATTTTCTTTTTTTATTTGTTTGTTTTTGGTCTTTCTGAGACAGGGATTCCAAGTCGTTCTGGTTGGCTGTATGCTAACTTTATAGCCCACACTGGTCTTGAACTTGCAAACGACCCTCCTGGCTCAGCCTCCAGAGTGCTGGGCTTACACGTGTATGCCACCACACCCAGCTTAGCTTGGAATTTTCATTATGTCTTAGATAGAAGTCATTTGTCTTAGGGACAGTGGCTAAAATGTTTTCCCACTGTAAGGCTTTTCTTTTCACTCTGTTAGTGATCTTTTGAGGTACAAAAAGTTTTTAATAAGATGAGATCCCAGTTGTTGATTCTGTGAAGTACTTACCATGCAGTTTGGTTTTTTGTTCATGAACTCTCTGCCTACCCCTATGTCTTCAAGATTTCTACCTACTTTCTCTTCCAGCAGATTTAGTGTTTCTGTTTTAATATTTATATCTTCGATCCTTTTTGACTTTAGTGCATGGTGATAGACATTGGTCTGGTTTTAGTCTTTAGCATGTGGATTTTTTCCACCATCATTTATTAACGAGGCTTTCTTCCAGTGAACGTTTTGCTCCCTTTCAAGATAAGGTGACTGTGTTTGTAGTTGTGTCTGCTTCTGATGTATTCCATTGGCCCTCAGGTCCTTTTGTTGGTCAGTACAATGCCAATTTTTATCATAGTAGCTTTGTAGTATGATTTCAAGTCAGGGATTGTGATGCCTCCTGCCTTGGCTTTGTTAGGGCAGGATTCTTAACTAGGGCCAAAATCTGAAACAGTACAGTTGAAGTTATTACATGACAAAGGCTTGAATTTGACTACGTGAGTTTTATTTAAGCATCCATACAATTATTTAGCTCATTTGTGAATTATGATCTAGATTTGTGTGGAATAGGAATGATTTGAATTTGTAATTTTGTGTTACATTGTTCTCTTTTTAATAGAAGTGGAAGTTCATATTACTATGATATATTTGATAAAGTACTGTGGGAAAGACTTAGGAACTGAGATTGAATTGTTACTATTTTTAATCTGTTAAAGTTATCATAGGCCTGTTTTTTTTTTTAACAGTAATAAGTATCACAGTATATTTTGTTATCTTTATAATAGTTGTTCTTTCAATCACGTATATCAAAATGAGATGAAATACAGAACACTACAGAACTTATCAAAACAATATTGAATAGAGCAGTACCATTAATCAGAAAAGAGCAAAACAGTAATAAAAATACTTGCCTTCAAAGAAATGGTAGAAGGAAGTCCCCCTTATTTGCTATGGTCAACCTCCCAGGAGGTGCTCAGATTTCTGGTTCCCACGGGCTAATGGGCGGGGAGCGGGAGGAGAAGGAGGATAGGGGAAGTGGGATATTTGACTCTAGGCCATGTAGCAGTAGGTTCACTATTGCTAAGCAGGGAGGCAGGATGGTCATTTGTTTTCACAGCATCCTCAGTTCCAACATGGCGTGGATCTCAGGAGACACTGCTGGTTCTCCCCCTGGAAGGACTGCAGTCTGCCACCCTGCCTCCGCTTACCAGGGAGGGGAGGTGCTTGCTTGGCTTCCCAGAGTCCTAAATTCCAACATGGCGTGGATCTCAGGAGACACTGCTGGTTCTCCCCCCTGGAAGGGCTGCAGTCTGCCACCCTACCTCCTCTTACCAGGGAGGGGAGGTGCTTGCTTGGCTTCCCAGAGTCCTAAGTTCCAACATGCATAGGCCTGTTTCTTGCCTAACAAAAATGTGTAATATATTCAGAATTACAAAATTGAAACTGTTTTCAAATTAATGAAAGCTTTCTCTAGCCATTGTTTGCAAGTTATATATTTTGTGTATAGGGTACAAGATTTAGTGAAGCTAAATGGTTTGAGTTTGAGGATACAATATTTCTGTGATCATGGTTATACTGGCTTGAGCTTTGGCAGTCTCTGAAATTCACTTTTAATTTATAGTGTCTTCACTATAACCTAAACCAACTATTATCTAATTTAAAATAGGATTTTGATTGTTTTATTTTTTGTAGACAAGTAAGCTAAAAAGTGATTCATTTACTTTTGTTTTGCATAGATTAGGGTCAAAATATTTGTGAGGTTTAATTATGTAATTCCTGGGTAGTACAGCAATTTTAAGTTCTCCTTTCTTTTCTGCGATAATTGGGATTGAATCCAGGGCCTTGATGTGCTAGGCAGGTGCTCTACCATTGAGCTATGCATCCTTTTTCAAATGTGAGACAGGCTCTCTGTACAGTGCTCAGGCTGGCCTTAAAATTGTGATAGTTTTGCCTCAACCTCCCTAGCAGCTGAAGAAGATTCTCAGAATGTATCTGCAAAAAATACAATCTAAATTCTTGGCAGAAAAAATAAATTCTGAGAAGTCCTCATCACGATATACTTAAATAATCTTCATTCCTACCCACCTTTGGCTGTCAAATTCCCATGACTTTCTAGTAGGAGGTGTATCTAAATCCAGGGAACCAACATTATCCTTAAATCCTGTTGAGTTAGTTAGGGCAGAATGTAGTCAGTAAAATACTTATGATCTTATTTTTGTGTACACAAGGCAGTCAGGAGAAATGTTGGAATTATTTGCATGAGCATCTTTTCATGGCTAAGTCTGTGAAGCAAAACTTAGTCCTTGAATGTTTAGTGAGCCTTTTTTATTTCAGAAGTGCTGTAAATTTTGTAGTCACTCTAGACTTTAATATTGAAAGAGATATTCATCTGCTAGAGGACTGTTGGTACACTATTTGACTACCACAGGAAATCACTTAATCTGGTGAGAAAGCTATGGCAAAATGTGTACCCATCTAAAACATTATTAATACAGATGGGAAAAAATTATTAATTTCCGATGTATTACAAAGGAAGTATGACGTTATTCAGGGGCAAACCCTGCAAATGGAAAATAAAACTTCAGTTATGGTCATATAAATTTTTATGTAATAAAATCATGGCCTTTTATGCCAGCAATAGCTTGTCAAGTACTAACTACTCCCCTGACATCTGTAGACTTGGCAAACTTGTCTATGATGATTCATCACCCACCCTAACAGTTTTAATAAAATGAAACTATATAGAAACATGACCTCAAACCCTTCTTAGACTCCATGTTCATGTTTTAATGGTCCCTCCACCCTCATCCTTCTAATTTCTAAAGGTGGAGGAAGAGAACTATTTGTTCTCTGAAACTAGGAAATTTATGAAACCAAGATAATTTCTGGCTGGAGATAGCTCAGGGGTAGAGCACTTGCCTAGCACGTCCATAGCTTTGGATTTGATTCTTGGCCCCACCAACAAAAGGAAAATTTCTTTTTGGCCTCTATGAGAGAAAAATTAACATTTTTTTCTTTTTCTTATAGATTGTCCTTCTACTCAGGCCACTCTTCGTTCTCCATGTACTGCATGGTCTTCGTGGCCGTAAGTACTTGTCTCCTGACCACTGGGGAACTGGAGCTGTGTGGGGTGACTGATCACTTGGGTATCTTCTGCTACACTCCTCCTTTCCTTTTACCTTGGGTCATTTTCTGTGAGTCCGGCAGGCATGCTCTTTACTGGGTGTAGCAGTTGCTCTTCTCTTGTTGGCTGATGTGAAGGGGGAGTTGAACTTTGGTCAGATCTTTTTTTCCTTTCTCTTTCTGAAGCATTTCCTAGACTGACTTCCACAGGGTCAGATTTCCACCTCTGAGTTGTCAGTTAGGCAACTTCCAAGTCCAGTTGTTTGCTAGCTATACAGCAGTGGGGCAGTTTGCATTTGCATTACACCAAACTGGTAGTGAGACAGAAAATATTTGTACCTACATTTTACTTTTTGAGCTACAGATGACTATATAGTTTTCTATTAGAGTAATGAATGCAAGACCAGGCTTTAGCATACATTCAAGGAACCTTTGAACTGATTTTTATTTTTCAAATGTCCTTTATTTAAATGCCAATTATACTTTATAATTATATTATTAAAATGGGGAAGATTATTACCCTAACAGATCACCTGTAACCTCTGTATCTTAATTTTCTTCATAAGTGGATTTTTTATATAGTTTGTATTCCATGTAAATTTATAGATTCTGTTTTTCTTTTATTTGTGCTTTATGACTATTTAAAACTTAGATTTTAAAAACCCATGGTATATAATATTAAAGGCAGACCAACTGGGGTTTTGTTGCAGAGAGAATTTTAAATTAACTTTACCTAAATCTTGCTTTTATTTGAAAAACCCAATTCCCAAAGTGAAAACAATGTAAAAATGGCAGATGTTATATAGCACTGAAATCCACAAAACCATTATAAACTCATTTTTGGCTTCTCCAGCATTTCTGGAAACTGCAAGGCTTTCATCTTAGGTTAATTTAATTTTGTGAGAAGAGGTACAGATTCACAATTTAAGGCTTCCTTTATAAAATCCTGAAATGTTTCTGGGGTGGCATGGGAAATGTGTTATTTCAAGGTAATTAATAGCAAATACTATTCTAACTTCTTTTCATTTACCATTTTATGGAAACTTAGCATTCTTTCTAAATCGTATTTATTTAAATAGGGCACTAGGAGAGAAGGGAAAAGGTATGTAGTGGTGAGAGCCATTAGTATCCTGGGAACTTTCTCCAAAGTACAGGTTCCTGATTATACTGAATGGCTTTTAAAGTGTGGACATGCCCCAGGGCACTTGTGTTGTAATTCACTCATCTGTGCCTTCCTTCCTTATCTGAGACCCAGGATTCTATGCTTTGGTTAATATTGGTGGGTTTGCCCTTTATGCTGTTTTTCCTTTTGATTCTTAATCTCCAGGAAGAGATGAGATAGGGAGAAGGGCTTGGGAAGGGACAGATGAGAGGTCTGTGAGCTCTGCAGGCCACCTCTTGACAATCCAAATGCCTTTGCTTTCCTGATTACCTCATCTGACCGCTAGCCCAGGTTATCTGATGGTCAGATGATGCAGATCTGGCAGTAAAGAGGTGGCATATGTAACTTTGACCAGTTTTTTTTTTTTCCCCAGTTACAAAGTCTCAGATTTATTTCATCTGTTAACGTTTTCTGTTCTTTCCTTTTCAAAACATCTGTTGTCTATATACTCAAGTAGAAACTAGTTTTGAGTACTTGTGTGAAATAGGAACCTCAACTAGACAGGATGGCACGATGATACAGAGCCTGAGTGGCAGGCTGGCTGTATGGATACACCAGCTATGAAGAGAGAGCTTAGAAATATACACACAAGGAAAATGAGCTCAACTACTAGTTGCTAATTGGATCACTGTGAGCCATTTAAATTACAATGAGAAAAGTCTATATAAATAAGTTTGGTATAGACCAAGGTCTTTTTAGAGAAGAGGAACTCTATTCCATCTCACTGACTGTAGGCAATGGAAATACTTACTTGATTAGGAAATAGGTCCCGGTTTTGAGTTCAAGCTTGAATACACAGATGTTGCCTTGCTTTCCATACTTGTATACAACATTAACCTCTCCTCTCCAAATTCCTTAGGCAGTGACTCACTTCCCTGGGCATCTTGGCATGATGGGTCAGTCCCAGATTTGGGTGGAGATGTAGTCATTTAAATCCTCAAGAATTCCTGACACTCCAAATTAACCTGTAGTTAAAAATGTCTCTTAAAGCAAACACCCTGGTCTCTGTGCTTCTACTCTGGCAGGCAGCCCACCCCTTCAAACTCACAGTGCCAAGGAGTCAGTGCCAGTGAAAAGCACCTGGGCTCATGGGAGCCGCTTCATATATAGCCAGTTTACATAGTTGGTGACATCTCTTAAATTTGGTCAGATGCCAAAGATTCCAAATTTATGTGATTATTCTAAGTACAGTCATGGTACAGGAGTGAAGAATGTACTAAAATACTTTTCCTGGCTCTCTCTGGTATTTTTTTTTTTCCCTACCACAAAATTCCTCTTCTTAGGCCTTACCCCTCCTGTGTTTAGAGTGCCACCCACCTATCCACACCTTTTCTTTCACACATTTGTATTCATATAGTTCCTCACTCAGTACTGATCCTATACCAGTATTGCTAATACTTCATGAAGATGTTCCCAAAACTGTATAGTAATGCCCAGTAATGGAAAAGTAAAGAATTTATTACCCACAGAACACAAGAATCCTGCCTAAGGTAACAGGATCGAGATTTAGGAATTCCATGAGTCCTAAAGACAGTGAAGTTGAAGCCCAGAGGAGGATAAACTGAGGCCTACATTACAGTTTGCTATCAAATATAGATGGGACAATCAGTTTACTTTGCTGGACTTGATCTTAGAAACAGTGCTTCAAAGTAAGTTTAGTATTCCTTGTATTGAGTATGCTGTTAGTCTAGCTCAGGGGTTAGTAAAAAAAATTTTTCCCAGTGAAATGTTAGGTAACAAAGATTAAGGCTTTATTCTTACTTTTTAAGAGTAACTTTGTGTGTGTGATCCTGGAGACTGAACCCAGAGCCTAGTACATACTAGGCAAGCCCTCTACCACTGAGTTACATCTAGCTCAAGAATAGCTGTTAACAATGTGAAATCATTTTCAGGTTGCAAGCTGACTCCCTGACATTTACAATGGGGGAGGGGGAAAGCCCCTATAGTAAGCCTGCAGAATATTAGGAAACTGAGATAATATACTTTCCAGTTAAGTGCTAACAAGGTCAGCCAAGAAGGAGCAGAATAAAAATAAACCAGCTATTTGGAGGCAAATAAAATAACAAAAAATAAATTGTGCAGGTCTGGAGCACACACGTATAAGCAGTGTAGTGGCACACTGTTATGATTAAGACCCTCTGGCTAGCTGCAAATTGACTCTTGCTTTGATCTCACATGGGAGGAAACGCAAGAGTGCTGATGTTGACCCATGACCTACTCAGTTGCCAAAGCTCCACCTCCTATCACTACCTTGAGGGTTAAGATTTCAACCTATGGGATTTGGTGGAGGCATCAGTATTCCGGCCAAAGCACTATCTGTAATAGTGAAATAATGCTCATACAGTGTCAGATACTGAATTTGAATTTATAAAAACACATAGCTTTTATGTAAATGGAAGTATACAGCTTCTAAATATTTTCAAATGTGGCCCTATGCAAGATAATTTCTTCAGTTTATTCAGACTGAATAAATTGGTATTTATGTACCTTATAAACAACAGTGGTATTCTTCACAATACCCCAGGTGTTGGATCTGCTTAGATTAACAGGTAGGTGCTGTACTTCATAGGAAAGCATCTGTGCCCTGCAGCTAGAGCACCAGCTTCCTAGACCCTCTGCTTTTAAGCTTGAACATCTGGTTATTTTGAGAAGTTGACTCCTCTCTTTACTGCCCTAAGGAATAAGAAATTGCGTGTATAAGTCTTTAGTAGTATCTAAACTACTAAGACACTTCTACTAAAGACTTATACATTTACATTCACACCACTCCTCCTCCCCATTTTAATCTGTACTATAAAGTCAACCTGAAAGCCTTGGAAGGCAATTACCACTAGGCTAGGTCTCTTTCCTCTTCATCTCAGTAGTTCACTTGAGCTTTTGGAGACTCAAAGCAAGGACTCAGCAAACCAAGAAACACTACTGAGTATGCTGAGAATGACTTCAAAATGTACCATAAGTCTTCAGGAATGCCCTCTCTGAAACCAGGTATCACTGCTGGCTCTCGTGAAAAGGAAGGTTCCACTTAGGGTTTCTGCCTGCGTGGAGAAAAAAATAAATTGCTCTTTCTTGTAGGCTTGCCCTGGTCAGAAAACCCCAGGTGAATGTCACTGCTCAGTGCAGGCTTCAAGTGTTCTAGCAAACTCACTTGTCTACTCTAATAGACATATGCTCCTCTCTCTAAAGAACTGTAGTGGTGTGAATGTAAATGTATGCTGTATCTTTTTCATTAAGCCTTCATTCCAAATTTGTGCCTCATGGAAACTCCTATCTCCCATTTCTAGAGTCATTTTCCTGTTTTGGCAGGGGTGACAGTGGCAGCAGGCTCTGGTGTTGCTTTTTATAAAATAAGACTGTTAAGACTCTCAAAAGTATTTTAAGACAGGGTTCAGATTTGTGAGAGGGATAGGGAGTGGAGAGAATCATCCTTCCAAGTGTGGAAGGGAAGGAAGCCTTTTTGGTTTAGGCAGCTAAACGGGGATTCTCCCCAACTATTCTTGTCCTCATCTAACTGCTGGGTTAATTCCTTTAGCTTCTCTTTTAAAAATTAAGTCACGACTATAAATCCCTAGGTCCTGTTTTCTCCTTGCGTCTTTACCTCAGCCAAGGAGGGAGTCTTTATCCCTGACTTGAATATTTTGGATAATCCTAATTACAAAACCACCTTTTGTCATGATTGGGTTCCTGCCAGCTGGTGTTCTGCATGGAGCAGCAGTCAGAAGGCTTTTCCTCCGGGAGCCCTGCTGCAAAGACCTACGAGTTACTGCCTCTGTTCTGCCGTTCTGCTGCCCTGAATCAGAGCTTCCTTCACCAGAAAACTGCAGGTTGCAGGATCAATCAGACTGGCCAGAGTGTAATGATCAGAGAAGAATCTTGGCACATTGGCGGGGAAAGCTATTTGGCTTAGGAACCACACCCTTACACTGTGTCTGTAGGAAAAGGTCACAAAATGATTCTCATCCCTAAAGCCACAAGTCTCACATAAGATACCTCTTCAGAGACATTCAGTAAGTTTGTACTGCTATGATTTTTTTCCTTGCTCTCTGAATTCCAATTTACAAACAGATCAGTTTCTTTCTCAATGGTATCTTTTTCAATGGTATCTTTCTTAAAACTCGTATAATCATTTTGGTGTTAGAAATCCAAATTTTAAAAAGGTTTTGATTATACCCAGGGCAGATTCTTAATTGGTTGGCTTCCTTATCTTACTCCCTTAGTCCTAAAAGAAAAGATGTTTATAGTGAAGACAGATGTTGACTATAACTAGTATACAATATGAACTGAACCACATTTTTCTGTCACATGGGCCATTTGAGTTTTCACAGTGTGGCTATTGCCTTCAACTAAATGGCTTATTCTCTTGCCTAATTGTAGCTTTTGCTTCCTCGTAACTTTAGTTTGCAAATAACCTATTATGTACTCACCAGATACTCTAGAATTTCTGAAGTAGAGCATGTCTTCATACTTCCAGTAGCAATTCCTGAGGGACAGCACAGTACAGCACAGCACAACACAACTCTTGCTGAGGCCTACTATAACTAGTTATCGAGGCACTGCTATCCCAGAAGAGAAGGCAGGTGACACTGTCCAAACAGAGCTCCCTTCTATTGGGAGGCAGTTTCCTTTAGAAAGGGAACACAAAATAACTGACACTTACTGCTGCACCTGATGCCACATCCCATTTGGACAAGGAATTAGGCTTTTCTAACTCTTAAAGAAGTACGCAACTGCCTGCCTTAGCCAGAATGGGTTCAGTTTACGTATCCTTAAGAAAACAGCATAGCATATACAGGAAGAGGAAGAGCGGAGTTTGTGAAGGACCTAGTAAGCCTTGTTAATCTTAGCGGACATTAAAGCATGTGTTCTGTTCCCATCTCCTGGTCTAAGAACAGTGCCTAGAAACTTTAGACTCAGTTCCTATAGCAGTGAGGGACAGATGGAGGAATGGAGACTCGTTTTAAAGGAAGCCATGCCACGTACTTTTTACAAAATCATGAGCGATGCTACTTCTCTGTCTTCCAAGGACGATGCACTCTGGTGTGTTTAGGGGGACTTTAAGAATTAAAGTGAAAGAATAGGGAAGGAAATGATAGTCAAGAGATGAACTTTTTGGAAAGTAATTAAGTGGTAGAAAAGCAAATTCCTTAGAATATGTAGAGGGGGTAGGATCTTGCACAGCGAACCTTGAAACTGGCTCTGGAAGTGGAGTTAGCAACACTGCACTCTATTGAGGCCATTGACCTCAGTAGAAGATTTTAGGAGGGGACAAGCCAAAGTCTGAAGTTCTGGGCCTGTCAACTATGAAATTTGGGTAAGCCAAGGTTCAAGAAATTCTCGTTTACTTTCTTGGGCTAAAAGGAAATGGAAGAATCCTTCTGGGAAGGGCAGAGCCTTAGCCTTTACAGAGCCAAACTGAGTCCCCTAACCTCAGGAGACACAGCGCACCAAACATGAAGCACTCTGAATTAGGCAGTTTCTCCAGGCTAAATGTTCTGTGACCACACCGGCGCTTCAAGTCATGGTGACTTGTCACTAGAGAAGCCAGTCTAGAACGTAAGATCAGAAGTAGAAGCAGGATCGGCAGATTCCAGAACTCCCTTGGTGAAATTTCTGGGTCCACAGCCAGCATTTCACTCGTGGGGGAAATATTTATCTTTGGGTAGCTATTTAAGGAGAAAACTAGCTACTCAGGTAAAGGCTTCAGATAAAATGTTAGACCTTGATTACTGATTTGTAGTGAATGTTAATTTTTTGGGGAATCTAATGTTCCCCATGGAATAAATGTGGGCAAAATAATACTTAACATCTCTGCAGGCTACCTATAGTCATGCAGGCTTCTTTGGGAAGGCCTTATACTTAAGAGGGACTTTAGATGTGTGAGGGAAAAAACAAAACAAAAACCTAAAATTTCTGTCTTGAGTTTTCCCTAAGGGTTGAAAGTGCAAAGTGGAATTACTTTAAGTATTTCCTAGGCCTCTGTTTTTATAGTAAGAAACCTTTTGGTCATAAGTGAGCTTTTTTTTTTCTTCTCCGATTCTGGGGACTGAATGCAAGGTTCTAACATTGAACAAAATCCCCAGTCCTTTATAAATCTTGAGACACTCAAATAGGCTGGGCTGTGTACCACCACACTAATGTTACATCTGAAATTTCTGACAGTAATAACTAAATTTGGCTTCATGTATAGTTAAGAGCCTTTTAAGTTTCCAGGGGCTGGGGATTTAGCTCAGCGGTGTAAGCACACCTGCCTTGCAAGCAGGCGGTTGTGAGTTCGATCCCTAGTACCGATAAAAAGTTTAAAAAAAAAAAAAAAAAAGCAAAAAAAAGTTTCCAATTATAGCAAAAACAAAATGAATCTTGAAATACAGCTCTTAATCTTTTTTCAAACAAAATATGGAGAAAGCTGCTGAAAGTCAGTAGCACTTAAGCTAGCTAAGGAGTCAGACTTAAACTGTGACACTTTTAGAGCTAGATGTTTATGTTTATGTACTTGATAAAATTAGACAACCTCTGGGTTTTTGCCAGCTGAACACCCACAGCATCACCCAAAGATCTGGGAGTAGATTTGTTTTAAATAGACATGTGTTAACAGGCAGAGCAAGATACATTGTTTGTTGAGGACTGCATTTAATTATGCTGAAGTAAAGTATTGAACAGAGTTTAAATTTTAAATTATAGTTTGTGTGGACAGATATTTTGAAGAACTAAAAAGTTCTTTTTCTACATCAAAATCTCTTAGATACCAATACATGGAAAGTCAAAATCTGATAGATACGAGAAAGGAAAGCCAGGCATGATGGTGTGTGCCTCAATCCTAGCACTTTGGAAGCTAAGGCAGGAACAACACTGAATTCTAGGCTGGTCTGGGCTCCAAAGAAAGTTCAAAGCAGGACTACATAGTGAAACCCTGTCTCAAAAAGATAAAAAGGTGTGTGTATGGGGTGGTCTCAGATTTGATTAGTGTACAGAAAAGAATACAGGAGTTGTTGAAAGAACAGAATCCTTTGCTGATTGTACTCCACAAACTGTCTTACTTAAGCAGATGATTTAGTTTCAGTTGCCCTTTTAAAAGTTTGAGGCTGTGAAGCTAGCAGAGCTCTTGAAGTAAACTGGTATTAAGCAAATAATCCCTAGACAGTCTGGGTAGAAAACAGAAGCCTGGCCCAGGGTAAAAGAACTCAGAATGCTAACATTTTGCCCCAAGACTGCCTTTGATTACCAGAACTACAGCCCAAACTACCAGGGGAGGAACCACCATGAAATCTTGCCTGGAATGTCATGCAGGAAGAAATTTTTGCCTTAAAATCTAAACACTGCTATCAGAACAGTGCTAGGCATTAACGCGTATAGGAATGTTTGCCTAAAGGTCCTATTCCATATGTAACAGTTCTATCTTTTAAAAAGCAACTCTTTAAGAGGTGTGATAATATTTCATAGAACACAGTTCTCAGGTGGCATGTTAAATGATTTTTTTTATTCTTTTCTATTAGCTTTATCTTCAAGCCAGGATGAAGGGAGACTGGGCAAGACTCTTACGTCCTACACTGCAGTTTGGTCTTGTTGCTGCATCCATTTATGTAGGCCTTTCTCGAGTTTCTGATTACAAACACCACTGGAGTGATGTATTGACTGGACTTATTCAAGGAGCTATTGTTGCAATATTAGTTGTAAGTATTAAGGGCAACATTTTGATACAGATAAGGAGGGAAATCCCTTAAGCTGCATATGGTGGCACAAGCCTGTAATCCCAGTATTTGTGAGTTCAAGGCCAGCCTGGGCTATCTAATGAGTTCTAGGCCATTCATAGCACAATCTGTCTTAAAAAACCAATGAGAGAAAAAAAAAAAAGGTAGAAAATGACTCAGTATTTCCTACTAAGCATGCTAATGTTTAAGTCATGTTAAGATAGGTAAATATTAGGTTATTCTTTGCATAAATATTATAAAAATTAGTATTTTTATTGAACTGAAAAAAACTGGCATGAATAGTATTGGCAGGATAAATCTATTGGTAAAATGAACAAAGCAATTCTATTTGTAATAATCTCCTTTGAAAAATATTCCTATTAGCCATTAATTTATTTTACATCCTTAATGTATACCATCCAGTGGTATATCACTTATTTATCTTGGCAAAGTGTTTGTTTTGCATGCATGAATTATACTATTAAATATTTTGTTCTGTTCTAAATATAATTTGTTCTACATAGGCTGTATATGTATCAGATTTCTTCAAGGCAAGAAACTCTCCTTTTCAAGAAAGAAAAGAGGAAGACTCTCATACCACTCTGCATGAAACACCAACAGCAGGAAATCACTACCGGAGCAATCACCAGCCTTGAAGGGTGGCAGATGAAGCTGGCCTGCTTTTTAAAGGAAAACAACTGCTACCAGAAGGCAAGAGGATGATGTATCTGTCGTCCTGGTGTAGAGGCCTTTATGGACTGCCGCTGCTGCTACTATACCTCTTGGATGCCCACTTTATCTGTGTAAATAGTTACAGTTAACACAATGTTATCTAATAGCTGAAGTTCATTCAAGAAATTTCAAGCTTTCCACTAAAACAATGCCCCACCTATACATTTTTATTAAAAAATGTAATGCTTATGTACATGTGTAATATGCATTGATTTAAATATACATATTAAAATGTGGAAAACTGTCTTGAGATGGGAGAACCACATAAACACTACACTAAGAAGCGTCAGATGGTGTTTAAAATCTCACATCTATAAGTAGAGGCTGGCAGCAAACACAATATCTCTCTTGATTTTGGTGATTCCTAAGAGAAAAGGAAATAACATTTCAACTTGTAAGACTGTATCTCAATTACCACATGAATTCTTACACATTAAGCAAGGACAAATTGCCATACCCAGATTTAAACTGAATGACAAGGCCTGCCTTTATTACCTATGTGGAAATATAAGCTAGTATGATACCTACGCTGTTAGCAGAAATCAATAGCACTGACTTACACCAACAAAATAGGCTGCCATTCTTTGATTCTTCACCATCTTGGCCAAGATTCATTATGGAGACAACAAAACTATTTACAAGCATCTTCCTTCATCTGGTCTCCTTGCTTCAATCTTGCTATTCTATGGGCCTGTCCAGTTTGTAACAGCAGCAACTACTTTTGTAAAACACACACTAGGAGCACCATTTCTGTGTTTTAAACCTTCAATCACCACAGAGTAAAGGATAGGCCAATGTCTTCCTTTCCTTTCTCCCCCCAAAGTTCCTCTTTTTTACTGTCTTCTCATTCAGCTCTAGTTACACTACCCTTCTTGTTGGCCAATATACCAAGCATATCTAAAGGACTTTAAATGTCATCTTATGGAGGCCTCTGGACTACTCATTTATCTCCCCAATTCTCTTTGCCTGGAACTCCTCACCTACAATGGTTGTAGACTCAGAACTATCTATTTGGTCTGCTTTAATTGTTGGCTTATTTATTGTCTCTCCCATACTAGAATGTAAGCTCCATGAAGGCAGGACTTTCTGTTTATTGCTATATCCTCTAGTGTACTGATGGTGAACCTTTTAGAGCTTTCCAAGGTAACAAACAGTGGGCTGTGGCATGAGTGCCATAAATTCACCGGTGCTTAAACAATGCCTGGCAGATAGTGCTCAAAACTTTTTCCCAACAGACCCTCTAAAGTTTTACAGAAACACTATTTAGGTAGTCCTCTAGTGACCTGGGTTGTTCTCAATGGCTCATCTCTCACAAGATTACTAGAAAAAGCTTATGAATGAGATACTGACCTTCAGCAAATTTATTTTCCAGTTCGGTGTTTCCAATGGCTTTTGCAGCCTGACACATCTGTCGAAGGAGTTCTTCCAGGCGCCTCATACAACGAATTATGCTGCCTGGAGAAAAAAGAAATCACTTGTAAAACTTACATAAACAGAATGGTAGAAAGTTTGTTAAGAGGCAATGCAGGGAAACATGGAATGCTAAACAGTAGTTAGAAGGACTTTCCATGAAATAAATAAACTAGCAAACCTGACAATTGCCTGCTAGGTACAAGAAAGTCTACAAAGAAGAAAGGTAATTCCAACCTTTAGTGATACCAACACAGATTTACTAATAATATCTTGACATTTGCATTTGAATACAATGTGCCTGACACATACTGAGTACTTGGTATTGATCACTTTCTTTTTCTACCACCACCACCACCACCAGGACAATGACTTACTATTGAGAAATCTGATATAATTCTGAGATTAGGGCTTTGGTGACATTAAGACACACAACTTAATTTTTATCCAAAAGAACACTTACATGGCTGGGGATGTCGCTCAGTGGTATAAGTGCCTGCCTGACAAGTGCAAGGTCCTGAGTTTGATTCCCAGTACCAAACCAAACCAAACCAAACAAAACACTTCTACATGAGTATAGAAATAGAAAAAGTGAGTTATTAAAGTGCTTTAAAAAAGGGGGAGTGGTTCCATGCTGGTGGCAGAAGGAAGACTGAGAATCCAAGTTACTTGTAATTCTACTTCCATGGCTAGAAAAATAAGTATGTGAAGGACTCCTCTAGGCAGAGTAGCTGTATCCTCTCCAATGAAGAAAGCCTCCAAAAATTTATGAGGAAGTGGCTATATGATACCCATAACCCATAGTTTACTTTCTTATTTTGAGCTTTTCAAAGTTAATAGATAAAATTTAAAAAGCTGTTTCTTCTAATAACCTTTATCAGTGTAAAAAGTGACTCCACAAAATAGTTTTCAAAGTAACTATGACTGTATCACTTGCCTTTCCCAACATTGCTTACTATCATTTTATAGTTGGATTTATACCTTCCAGGTTCAGAAGAACAGTTTCAGATCTCTGACTAGAAGCCAGGACTCCCAAATGGTAGTAGACAGAAAATGTATTAGACACTTTTCAGAAATTGATGAAACTTGTTTTTTTCTATTAAGCTAGCTGAGGAAATTAATTGTAAAGTACAAGGATAAGGATTAGTGAAGATACTCTTAATGGTCTAAATGGGAAATAAATTAAAGCAGGTCTTAATGCCATCTGAAAAAGTTTCCTGTGGAGCGATACAAAAGACAGAAAAAAACACCCTGAGGGTAGGAAAGATGAGACACAGGAAGAAATGGGACTGAAAGCAAAACCATGAGGCAAACATGAACCTAGCTTCACGAGTAGTAAGGGTAAAAAGATGAGTAGCCAGGATAGCCAGCCATAGCTTCTGCTCAGTCAGAAGGCAGCAACCCTGTATAAATTCCCAGCTTGACAAACTGACAGCAACTTTACCTCTTCCTTGGGTGGGATAAGATATCTGCCGGGACTCATTCCTGCAACCTGGTGCCCTTGCTCAGGATGGTGGCTGGGGAACCTATGCTTCCCTACTACTCACCTGCTTGAGAATATTCTGCTACAACTTACTCAAAATATCAGTGGGAAGCTCTCATGAGTTTGTTTCTGTGATGATATGGTTCTGGATGGTCCCAAGCATGATCTCTGATATTAGGATTACCCTCAGTGATACACATGGAGTTCAATCATTAGAATATGGCTCAGATTTCTGCTTTGTCACTTTTAGACAAATGAAAAGTTTATTTTTTCATAAACTGTAAGCCATAGGTTTTTTTAAAACTACAAAAAGTACTATTCTAGCTACTAATTCTTTGGCTAGTAAAACATCAATCACCCAGGTATATTACAGGGACTTCCAAGTCAGTATTTTCAAAGACTAAATTGATCACCTTTCCTCACAAATTTCCTCCATGAGTTCAGTTTACCCATTTTGAAAACAAATAATGTTCCCTATTTTATAGTTATTGTGATGAGCGTGAAATAATGTATGTACGGTCTTAAGAACACTACTGCCAGGAATTCAGTAAATACTGGCTATGCCTGTTACTTCTGTTCTCAGATGCTAAGAGTACTATGCTCCAGTACTGGGATGGAATGAAAGGAAATCCAGATGTAGAAGGGAGGGAGGACAGAGGCAATTAACATCTTATTACACATGCAACCAGAAATTAAATGAATGTACTAATAATTCTATTTTAAAAGAAAAGTAGGGCCTTAAATTTAGGTACACAGCACTTAAAAAAAACAACAATATATTCGCAGCTAATTTAGGACTGAAATGAAATCCTTTACAAAATCTTCTGCTACACAGGATAAAAAAGAACCAGGCAGGCTCTCTTCAAATGTGACATCAAACATGCACCAGGAAACACAACCTTGACACCATTTTAATATTTGTCTAAATTACAGTAATTCATTTGAACCAGAACCATTGTCAATAGAAGTTATGCCATATGAAATAAATTAAGATAAATTATAAAATTAAAATAAACGCACATCTAGGGCTAGAGATTACGCTCATGTCATATTTTGTAAATACTTCAATTTCTGAAACATTTAGCTGTGACAGTTTCAGGTAACAAGCAAACAATTAGGAAAATGAGGCAACCAGGTACAGGATTACACAGACAATGGATCTAGTTGTTATCCCCAAGTTTTATCAATAAGTCACTGTGTGTGAGCAAACACTGTCAACAGCTGCCTGCAGCCTATTGGTTACTCCCCACAGGGATTAATGAAGACCATTTTTACGTACTGAATTATCTAGGTCTCTTTCCTATTTACTACAGTTCTCTGCAGTCCAAAGCTTTCCTTACTCCCAGCTTTGGAAATCATTTTGCCTCATCAATTAGATCAGTTGGTCTAGATATGAGACAAATGCTTGAAAGCTGTAATTTATTGCCAGGCACTCTGAAGCTGATGAGAAACACAGTAATCCACTGGTTTGTTACATAAATCTTTTCTTCTGGTTCCACTACAGTAATAACAAAATTCTTTCTAAATCACTAATTTGTGCTTTACAAATAGTGGTTAAATAGAACATGGAACTCATGATTTTAACCATGGTACAATTTAGGATCATCACACTTTTTTTACATTTAGGATTATATTACCATTCTGGAAGAACTTTCACTATTATTCATGAATCAAAATTTACTTCGTTAAGTGTTTTAAGTTCAATTTTTAATATATTCAGTTATATAACTGACCAATATTTAATTTTAGAACATGTTTACTGCCTTCAGAGAAATTCTGATCTGCCTATTCTGGACAATTCATATGAATGAAGCTACACAATATGTAGGCTTTATGTCTGCTTTCTTAAATTAGCTTCTCAATGCGTTTAACATGCACTTCTACTATGATCTGGTATTTTTTTTATTTAAGAGGAAAAAGAGAAAAACACAAAACAAACCAAAGCGGTGTAAGGGTACACGTAATACAGGACTACAAAAAAACAAAACAAAACAAAAAAACCCAAAACAAACAAACAAACAAAAAAAAACGTAACAGTAAGAAATCACCTGTTAGTAGATTACATATTATCATCTTGAAAATAGTTCCTCAAATCACAGTATCAAAGAATACAAGATGGACATTCAAACAGGGAGACTGCAAACAGCTGTGTTCAATGATCCAAAAACATTGATATAGTCAGCTACTTAACGATCTGGTATTTTTTTAACAGCCAAAAGATACATGTTTTATTCTCCTACTGATGGACAGTTGGAGACACTTGCATTTTTATAAATATTAGGTTATTTATGAACAA